CTCTTTCCCCTTTCTTCACCTCCCCCGCTTTGGGTTGGTCCGCAGCTGGCGGGGTGGGATGAGGGTAGGGGCGATGGGAGCTAGGGGCCGGCTGCTTTGGGGGAGTCAGCCTTTTGGCCACAATCAGGGCGGGAATCCGGACTGGCAGTTTGCCTTCCCGGCAGATCGAAGCTCCCTGCTGATCGATTATTTGATAATTGATTTTCCCCGCAGCCAATAAGCTGCTGCCTTGGCGGGAGCGTCTCCTGATTGGCCGAGCCCTCCTCCCCGGCTGCCTACCGAGATTTGGGTGAGCTCATTTTCCACTCGACCGCAGGGGGAGTTTTCTGCGAGGTTTCAACTGGAGGGAGGAAAAAAAAATCGTGCTCCGAGCCGAGCGAGCTGCGAGCCCTGCTCCGGGATGTGAGGTTTCCAGCCCCGCTGGTCGAGCTGCTGCGGCTGAGCCATCTCGACAGATCAGAGCCGGGCGGGCAGAAAAATAAAAACGAAAATAATAAATATAATAATATACTAATAAAGGGCAGGTTTAGAGCGGGAGAGTAAAGAAAAGGAATTTTTTGTTTGCTTAAACCGGAGAATAGGTATTGAAAGGGAGAAAGTTCAAATTAGGGGCTGGTTGGGGCCTCCGAGTTGTGGGTAGGGGCAGCTTTTTGTCTGAAATCTCAGCCCCCGAAGTGAATTTGTTTTTCTTTGGCACTGGGAGTTTTCCCTGAGCCGGACTGGGGATCGGAAAGAGGAGTGGGGGGAAGAAGGGCATGGGGAGGAGAGCGCGGGGCGTCGCCGGGGAAAGAGCGTGGCCGAGGCCGGAGACCCTCGGCGCCTCGAAGACAAAGGCAGCGCGGCTGCAGCCCCAGACGAGCGCGCCGACCCCGCCGCGCCGCGCCGCGCCCTGGGCGCACGGCCGCCTCGCCCGGAGCGGGCCGGAGAAAGAGCCTCCCTCCCCGCGGCTCCCTGGCCCGGGCTCCACCCGCGAGGTCGGGCTGCCCAGAGCCCGCGTCGGGTTTCGCTTTCCGGCGATCATAAATAGCTTCGTGTTTGTAAACAGGCGCTGGGGGCACATTCCCGGTTCTGGGCTCATTGTTCCCTCCCTTCCTCTCTCACTTTGCGCAGGACGCCGGGGCTGGGGCTGGAGGCCTCCGGGACTAGGAGGTGGGGGCGTCCAGATCCGCAAAGTGAGAAAACACAAGCATTTCCTTTCCTTGGGCCGGGTGTCCACCTCTGACAGCAAAAAAAAAAACCCTCTAAGGTGGATCTGCAGAAAGCCCCAGCCATCTCCACCCCACGTTCTCGGGACTTCTTAGCACAGCCTTTCCCAGCCCTGTTCCTGCGCCTCCTCCTCTTCGCTCCTGGTTTGACTTTTCTACGTGGTGTGTTTGGTTCTAAGAATCCACTACTTTCTGCACCAGCCCCCCTCCGCCCCGAAAAATACTGGCAGACCCCAATAATTTCGAGGAAAGTCAGGAAGTCAATCCACGGAGCCCTGTGCAAAATAACTCCCGCTGCTGCCTGCCCCGCTTTTATTCCCAATCTATTTCAAGAGAGCTTTGGAGAGAGAGTCTGGAGGGGGAGGGAGAGAAAAGAATACGGAAAATAAAGCCGGCGGCCGGGGTCTACTACCCGCGCTTGTGCGCGTGTGCCCTGGGTGTGTGGGTGTTTGTGCCTGGGCGTGCGATTTAATGGAGCGCCTCTCTGCCCCTCCAGTGCGGCCAGAGCTCGCTTCGCGCACCCACCCCTGCCGAGGAGCCTACTTGCTGCAGCCCAATGCATTGTGTAAGACGCGACCTGTTATGGCCACCACTACTTCCGGGTTCTAGCATTCTGGTCGGAATCCACCTCTCCGCCTGTGCAACACACACTTTACACACGCACGGGGACTGCAAGCGGGCAGCATCGATCGTGGCTCCTTTAAGACAAACTCAGACAGACATTTTTTTTAACCCTCCTCCTCTAATCTCCCTCCAGTGCAGCAGTTGCAAAGAGGGAGAGAGAGAGAGAGAGAGAGAGAGAGAGAGAGGGGGAGAGAGAGAGAGAGAGAAGAGAGAGAGGAGAGAGAGAGGAGACAGAAGCAACTGTAAGCTCACTTTGAAGAGAACAGCATCTCTAGGCTTCACCTGTGTGCAGATGTCATGTGTCATTCTTCAGGAGGGAGGGAGGGAGAGAGGGAGAGAGAGAGAGAGAGAGAGAGAGAGAAAGAGCGAGCGAGAGAAGAGAGAAACTGATTAGGAATTAGGACTGATTCAAGGGAAGCGAGCGCTAGGGCTTTGTGCATTTGAATATTAACATTTGAGGTGTTCTGACCAGAAGAAGACTGAGCGGATGATCATTCATTCACCACGTTGACAACCTCGCCTGTGATTGACAGCCGGAGTGGCAGAAAGCCATGAGATTTGGTAGTTGGGTCTGAGGGGCGCTTTTTTTTTTTTAACTGATTTTTTGGGGAGAGAAGATCTGCTTTTTTTTTGCCCCCGCTGCTGTCTTGGAAACGGAGCGCTTTTATGCTCAGTGACTCGGGAGCTTTGCTTCAGGTCCCATAGACCGAAGATCTGGGACCAGTAGCTCACGTTGCTGGAGACGTTAAGGGATTTTTCGTCGTGCTTTTTATTTTTTTTTCCGGGGGTGTTTACGTATTTGTTTCTTTTCACACTGGCCTTAAAGAGGATATATTAGAAGTTGAAGTAGGAAGGGAGCCAGGGAGGCCGATGGCGCAAAGGGTACGTATTAAAAAACAATTGTGGAACTCAAATGTGAGGTTAAATTGAAACGTGGCTGAAAGACACTGCTAAAAAGTTTCCTTTTTTCTCTGTCTTTTTGAATGAGGCTCCTAAAGCCGTGGCCTAAAGCGAGAGGATTTATTCAATGCGTTTGTAGACTTATGTATATTAACATGTAATTGTTAATTCAAGTAATCAAGTTTTCTATAGATTCCTAACCAGCAGCTATATAAATAAAAATACAAGCTCGGGCAATCATCTGTTTAAAAAACAGAAACCAACAGCGCTAGATACCTAATGTTATATAGCGTGAGCATTCAAGGAGCAGAAGTTTAAGGCTAGTTTTAAATTAAAATAAGCAGCTAGAAACTTCTGATATGTTATTGATTATGCTCATCTTCAATATCACTGAAAGTATTTAGCATTTTTAAACAAATAACTTTGTCATAGTACAACGGTTTTGGGGGTCGGAAAGCATTCATCTTTTTAAAGTAATTTTAATGTACATGGTTTTTTATGCAAGGTAATACTTTGTAAGTTTTTCTTAGAAGAGCCCTGCACTAATTGGATACTAAGCACACAACTACTCACTTTAAAAATGCAATACTAATTTCCCCAATATTCCTATTTGAATGGAAATGTAGTGAGAGTAAAGTGAGACAATGACAACCCAACAGAGGTAGTTTCTTAAAAGAAAGGGGGTCTACAAAAAGCCTTCCTTGCATAATTTGTGCCCTGGCCCTCAAAGCCCTGTTTGCAAAAGAAAGTTACTAGGCTGACACATTTTTTCTTTACTCCTTTGGTTCAGGCAAATGTCAGTGTTCTTCCAAACTCTTTTCACACCTCTGGCTTGAAGGAGATGAAAGTGGCAATTCCTCTTTTCTTTGAAAATCATTTCACTCTCGGCGCCTCCAAATCTTGGGAAAAGAACATGCCTGAAATGAAGCAAAGAGGAAAACCTAAATAGCTAAATTTTGCACACAAAAGTAATGACAATATGAAAGTAGTTTTTCTGGAGAAGGAAGATGGGGGGGTTGAATGTGCATTTACTTTTAAATTTGCTTTAAACCTGATGACTAACATTTAGCTCACAGACATCTAGTCTAGGGGGAAAGTTCATAAGAATAGAAAAAATAGAATAATTGCTCCAACTATACATTTTCTTTAACTTGAGGGGAATATTGCCCAATTCTAAATTCAGCCCCGATGTTGAAGAGAAGCTACCCTTCTCTGAGTTTCACTTATAAGGGAGCCAGTTAGTTTTGTATGATTTAGCAGAGTTTGTCTTGGAGAGCAAAGGAAATGCAGTGTCTTGCAGGACTGCCTAACCCCACGCTGGCAGGGAAATAAAATGAGAAGCCTGTCTGAATTCACGTGCTTGGCTTAGCTGTTCCCATCGTAACTTTTTTTTTTTTTTAATTCCCCCTGATGGGAAGGGTCTGTGAAACTAGGCAGGTTTGCTGTACTGTCCTGGCATGTTTTATTATTGTGATTTTGAATTTCCTCCTCTAGAGACGTGCACGTTTTACCTTCTGCCCTCCGGGAGAATGCCTCCCTTTCTTCCTTCTTTCTTCCTTCCTTTTTTGCCAAAGGATCCTGAATTTCTGGCTAGTTGATAGGGACACAAGTTAGGGCAAGACCATTCAATCTAGCCGAGTCTTACCGAGAATCCTAGAAATTTTACTTCTAAAAATATTTTTTTAATGAGAAATCAACCTCAGAGATGCAAGGCCACCGAATTCGGGGTTGAAGGATCCAGCTGGACTGACATTATATAAGCTCCGTGCCCTGCCGTTCCCCCATTTGCCTGCCTGGACTTCTGAACCTGTTTCTCTCCTGTTTGTCATGCAGTACGACGATCTACCCCATTACGGGGGCATGGATGGAGTAGGCATCCCCTCCACGATGTATGGGGACCCGCACGCGGCCAGGTCCATGCAGCCCGTCCACCACCTGAACCACGGGCCTCCTCTGCACTCGCATCAGTATCCGCACACAGCTCACACCAACGCCATGGCTCCCAGCATGGGTTCCTCCGTCAATGACGCTTTAAAGAGAGATAAAGATGCCATTTATGGGTAGGTACGACGGGCAGCAGACTAAGCAGTTGAGAGGCGATGCTTTCTCTATTTCCCTTTGCCCTCAGTAAGAGGAAAGCCAGAGCTCTCTGGATTGGAGGTACATTATTTGGTGACTTTTCATTCGCTTTGCGTGAAGATTTGGGGGAAGCGGCCTGCCATCCCAGACGCCCCCCCGCCCCCATCTCCGCACACGCTCCGCGCCAGTCCAGCGCCCCGCTCCGCCGAGGCTATGCCCGCGGAAGGGTCGCCGTGCAGAAGTTGCCAAATGTCCCTCGTCCCCCCAGACCCCGGCTCGGTAGCTCAGCGGGTTGGAGTCCTCACTCGCTTGACTTCGCAGGGAGAGTGTTGGGGGTTTCTAAACGTAGGCGCCTTTGTGTTGGAACGAAACTTTTAGTTTAAAGGAAAATCTTTTAAGCCACTGATTGTTCTGGCTTGCTAAGTTTACTCAGCCACCGTATGCTGGCTCTGCCACCGCACAATAAAATCAAGGCAGGCCAGTTGCAGGTCAGGCAAGGGGGAACATGCTTTGCATTTAGGGAGTTTGACCACTGTAGTCAAGGAGAGGAGCTCGCTCTGAATTGTCACAGACCTTAAGAAACTTCTAGCCGTTTTAGGACTTTGTGTTCAAAGGCGAAACCTGCAGGATTTAGAAGTAGATGCGGGGTGCTCTCGGGTCGGTGTCGTCTTCCGCTGCAGTTCACACCGTGTTCTCCCGGGCCCTTGGGTTAGACCCTGGACTGGTAAAACCCTCTGAAAGTCACTTGTGCCTACTGTGTGCTGATGTATTGGGGGACCTCTTTTTACTTTGCAGCCACTTTTATTTTTATTTATTTCTTCTTAAAAAAAAAAATCAGTCAACACTGACCCTCCCTGGCTGAAAACCCTTTCTGCTTGATCTTCTGGTCCCTTGTGCGATGGGCTTGTTTTAATCCCAGCGTCCTCTCCGCAGTGTTGTTAACTGCAAATCGTTTAGGCTCCGGGACAGAACATTTGGGGAAGCTTTTTGAAAAGGACCCCAAACTGTTAAATTCCCAGCTGGGCTGTGAGAGCTAATAAAAGACTTGAGACACCTCTTTGGGCATTAGAGGAGGCTTTTTTTTTTTTTTTTTTTTTTTCTGCACCCAGAGGAGCACAGGCTTCCAGGAGCGGCCTTTGGGGTAAGTTAGCAAGAGAAATGCTGTGTAACCGGCTGTTGTTACAAACGATAATGAGAACAGCCGACGTTTTTCAGGTGACTCCACTGTGCCAGGTATGTGGGTTCATCCTTACTGCTCTTCCTCAGGATGGCCATTACTAGTTTTCCCTTCATTCAGATGAAGAAACTAAAGCAAAAGACACATTGCTCTAAGGGCACAGCTGAGATATGAAGCAGGTAGTCTGCTGGCGAATTTTAGAGAGAAATTTTGTGTGACTGTGAAGCTCTTGGAAAGAGCAGCCTTTTCACCCGTCCATCTGCTCCACACGTGCCAAACGCCTGGCCTCCACCGAGCCCACCTTCTCTCGGGCATGAGAGGGTTGTTTTTTTTTTTTTTTTTTTTTTTTTTGATGGGCTGGGATAAGCGACATCTAGGCCCCTCGTGATACTAGCTGCTTTGGCATTATGCAGGAACAAAAATGAAAGGCTTGACCGCAGGAACATTTGAAGGAACTTTCTTTGGGGGGCGGTGGGGACCATCGGCGAAGGGAGGGAGGTGTGCAGGGAGCCGAGGAGAAGCCCTCTTGCTCTCCGAGAGCCGTGAGGTCGGGATTGGGAGATGCAGTCCTCTGACAGTCGGTCCCACAACCAGAGAGGTCCTTTCCCCAAGTTAGCTGAGCGCCTGCCACCAAGATCCCCAGAGCCTTGGGCTTCGCGAGAGATGGCCTTGGAGGAACCCACTTGAAAGAGCTTTCCCACACCCTGTGCCCCGCGCCTTTCCCCCCCTGCAGGTCCTGGATGTGCAGAGGAGGGACGAGGGCCGGTCGGGGTGGGAAACTTAATTCAAAATGGCTGCTGGAACCGCTTGGGTTTTATTCTTAGCAAATGTTACCAATTTCTCCGGCCAGATATGGTGAACCGATCCTCAGATACGGTCCATGGCTTAGGGCCTCCGACTTCGGGGGCCCAAAGAGGAAGGGGAGGTGAGCAGTCACCTGGGGGCGTGGGGGAAGGGGAACAAGTAGATGACAAAATCAGGGAGGGGGTCCCCGCCTTGAGCTCGTCCTGCTGTTTTTCTTGGGCGCCTTTTTTCACTGCCGCGGGACTAACCATTGTGTTGTTTGTGACTGTTGTATTTTCTTGCAGACACCCCCTCTTCCCTCTCTTAGCACTGATTTTTGAGAAATGTGAATTAGCTACTTGTACCCCCCGCGAGCCGGGGGTGGCGGGCGGGGACGTCTGCTCGTCAGAGTCATTCAATGAAGATATAGCCGTGTTCGCCAAACAGGTCAGCAAAATCAATGTTTCAAAAGTAAAAGAAAAAAAAAGTAAAAGAAAGAAAGAAAAGAAAAGAACCTCCCTCCCTCCCACCCAGCACATTTGCAAAAGTAACCAGCGAACAGTCCGCCCTAAGCCAGGCCTGTCACATCTTCTGAGCTTTTCCTCCTCAATGAGTGTCTTTGCGGACGCCTGAAAATCACCCCAGTTCTTACCCACTCCAGCTACCTAACCCGACGCAGAAAGCTCAGTCTGTAAAATGCAACCCCAAAGCCCACGCGCAGGAGCTGCCTTGGACTTGGCGAGCTGGGCAGCGATGTCTTAGAAGCGCAGTTGCTGGGAGAAGTAACCCTGTGCTCTGGGCTTGTTTTCGGATTCTTTGACTCACATTGAAGGGTTTCTGCACGGGACGAACTCGGTGTCACAGAGCCTCTCCCGGAGGTTACATCCTGCCCCCGACAGTGTAATGAGGCAAGAAACTAGGAAGGCGACCAGATTTCAAATGTTTCTTTCTCCCCCACCCCTTCTCACTTGTATTTAGATTCGCGCAGAAAAACCTCTATTTTCTTCTAATCCAGAACTGGATAACTTGGTAAGAGCGGACCCCTTGCTCCCCTCCTCCCACCTTCCCTCCCCACCCCCCAAATCTCCCCTCCTCCCAAGCTTTACTTTGAGAGCCCTGAGGTTTCTAGACCGGTCTTCCCCTATCTGCAAGTGGGCTGCAAAGGTTTCCATCCACCCGCAAGTGGTCCGGGACAAGGTCCCGGGGAAGTAAATTCACCTCGAGAGGGGCCGGGCAAGCCGGCGCGGGGAAACGCGAGCTTTGTTTTTTATGACAGCCGGGCAGCGCGGCTCTAATCAGCCCGGGGATTTATCTCCGGCCCTGTCAGCGTGTGTGCTTAAACTTTGCGGACTTCCCAGCCCTCAAAGTCGCGTCATGAGGACAGCGACCGGGCCAGAGGCCCCAAACCACCAGTTTATCTGAAAGGTGTGCAGAAGGTGGCAGAAAGTTTGCAGTGTGAAAAGCCACAGTCTGGGGACTGTTGGGAATATTTTCCGTGCACTCCTTGCAAGGAAACACCTAGTCGAGGGGTGCGGCCCTTTGGGGGTGGGGTAGGGGCAGTGGGGCTGAGAAAGGGGGGGGAGCCCTAGGGGAGGAGAAGGTTTATGATCCCCCCTTAGATGCTTCGTTGTTGTTTTAGCTATTTTTTTCTCCTTAAGAAATATAAACCTCTAGATGGTACCCACTCGCTGCTGTTAAGCTTTAGTGTTATTGCCATAAATCAAAATAACTCTATTTGGGGGGTGGGGGGAGGCTGGCGATGTTAGAGCTGCAACAGCCAATTTTCTGCAAACTAGGAATGGGGCGCTCATTCTTTTTGTATCTTTGCAGATGATTCAAGCCATACAAGTATTAAGGTTTCATCTGTTGGAATTAGAGAAGGTAATTTCTCTAGCTTTCTCTCCTTTTGCTTCTCCCTCATGCCCAAACACACAGAGGGGGAGGGTTCAGAATGGCTGAAGTTCAGGCTTCTGAGACATTTGCATAAATGACTTTCTTTCTGGTAATTAGTGTCAAGGCCAATCTTAGCGTCCATTTCTCTTTGCGGTTTAATTACAATTTTAGCCACTAAAACCGGGGTCACGAACGCCCTAGCCTTGTATTCATTCTTAATACCTTGCTGGCTTTGTATAAATAGTTGCAATTCTAGGCATCCCCTTTGATATTGAGAATGCTGTTGTGAGTTTGCTTGCAGGTTATATACCTCTGTGGTCTCTTCTCTTCTACCTCCTCCTCTTCTTTGCTGCCTCTGAGGGGGAAAAGTTTTGTTTAGTTTTAGTGAGTTTCTGGAAGACAGTCTGAGAGCAGCGGCAGGTCAGACACAGGGGAGAGGCAGAAGGGGAGGAGGAAAATGAGGCAGGGAGTCCGGAGGAGTGGGTGGGGGAGGCACTTTAACCGTCCTGCAGAGACAAAGCAGAGTTGATAGTTGTGTCAACTGCTTGAATCTGAGAATCCTGCACACACCCCACCTTCACACTCAAGAAAGGGTGTGGGATAACGTGATTTTGCTAGCTGTTCCATAAATCTCAGCAATAAAAACTTAATGCATTGGAATTCAAACTAACATTAAATTGCAAGCACACTGGGGCTTCTTGTGAATTTTTGCATGTCAGTGATGCCTGGGTCCTGTAAGAGACCACTCCACTTATGCCTAAATATTTTGAAGCATCCTTTTTTTTAAAAAAAAAAATCAATTCGATAACTTTTTGTGGCTGTAGGGTTTTTCCCCCATATCATGAGTCTTTTTTTTTTTTTTTCGAGGAAGCATCATAAAATATGCTTCTTATAGATAGAAACCCTAATGACAAATGTTACAGGGACTTGGGTTTTCAGGCATATATCCTATACCAACACAGTACTGGTCCTTTGGAGACTATATATATATATATATATATATATATATACATATAAATTTTTTCTTAGACATGTTGGAAAAGAATTTCTGATAAAGTAACTGGACGAAATTAAATAGTTTACCTTAAGTGTCACCCACGCAGGTCACCTCTCTAATGGCCACAGCCCCGGGAGCCGATGAATTTAACACGGGTGTTGAATATGTTGTAGCCTGTGAATCATCTTGTCACTGTCAATTTTCTGCGATATCTCTATTTTGCAAGAAAAGAAAGTTATTCCTAATTCTGGATGCGTCTGAGGGTCTCTGGAGGACAATTGCCCTGTGTTTCCCCTATTTAGAAGTTTGGATCTCACAAGGGGGGTGGATTGCACTTGTCAATGTCATTTATGAACTTCTGATTATATTTCCATTTTTTAAATTTCTGTCATAATGTAGGTACACGAATTATGTGACAATTTCTGCCACCGGTATATTAGCTGTTTGAAAGGGAAAATGCCTATCGATTTGGTGATAGACGATAGAGAAGGAGGATCAAAATCAGACAGTGAAGATATAACGAGATCAGCAAATCTAACTGACCAGGTACGCGCTTTTCAATTTCAACATCCCTGGGAGAAAAAAAAAAAAAACTAAAAACTGTATGCATATTGCTTGCTGGGTCACTACCACCTCCTTTTATTATTTGCATATGATTAAGTCCCTTTTAGATACATTTCCATCGAAATGAAAATTTTTGAATAATGTGGCTATTATTGCTTCATTAAGGCTGGCTCTGGGATTCGACCTGGAGAGATGAGCTTGTAAAAGCTTTGCCTGCAAACTTGACCTGTTTCTTGTCGCTTTTAATTTTTGTCTTTATTTTATTTACCCTCTATAATAATGGGAGTGTTAACTGCCAGTGACCGCCTCTGATTGTAGGGCTTTGTTCTGGAGCATTTTTTCCCCCCTTCTATCTCGAAGAAAAGGGTAGGGTCTGCTTATTTCTTATTTTATTAGGAATAAACCCAAGATAGGTGGTCTTAGAGAGACAGGGAGGGTTTGAAATCTAGCAAATGCTGGCTATTTTCTCCCTGTCTATACGGTTCATTAGCCTGTCTTGTCAGTTTTCCTCGGCCGAACGCTTCTAGACCTCACTGAACATTGCTTTGTGCAGTGCTCGCTGCAAGCTCGCCCATTTTATTGTACTTAATAGAAAAAATAAGACCAGGCCGAGGTTATAAAAACAGATAAATATGGACGTTTCTCCTCCTCCTTTCCACTCATCCTCCAGCTGGTACGTGCTCTGGGCCCTCTGGGTTGGCAGCTTTTGGAAGTGTCAGCGACAGGGGCGCCCCGGGACTCCCTCAGTGTGGCGGGTGGAGGACCTCGCGCCGCCCTGCTCTGAACTGCCGGCCTCTGCTTGCTTCACCCCCTCCTCTCTCATCCTCCCTCCAGGCCCTTCTTCCGCTGCTTTGCTAAGTGGGGACGACTTTTATTTGGAGTTGCTGGGGGGGATTTCTCTCTCAGCCCAACACCGATGTTTGCTCCCAGTCTCTCTCTCCTCTCTCTCCCCGCTCTCCCTCTCCCTCTCTCTCTCTCTCCCTCTTTCTCTCTCCTGTCGCTGTATCTCTGGATTGGTCCAGAGGAGTTGCAAAAATGCACCGAAAGTGAAAACGTGAGGAGTGGGTGAGATGAAACAGGGCTCAGGACAGCTCTCAGTTGCGAATTGTGGCACCGCGTCTAAAGATTTGGGTGGCGGGCCTCCTGTGCTTCTCCACCTATAAGTGAAGGCCCAGAGTTGTTTCTCTTTCTGACTTGGCACGTGAGCCCCGTCTTGGGCGAGAGAGCAGCCTGCCTTTGTTAGGCCAAAGGACAGCCAGTCATGCAGAGTTTTCTTTGCAAGCTCTACCATGATCACGGTTGGCCAGCGGCTGCCTTGCAGACTCCTTGCCGGAATGCCCGACTCCTCGGTCTTGGTGTCATCTTAAAGTTTGCTTCTTTCCATATCACCCCCTTAAAAAAAATTCCCAGCTTGGATTTCTCTGGGTAACCCCGCGGCAGAGGCTGAATTCCTCCTTTTCCCACGAGGAGTGGAAGGCAGGCAAAGCTGAGATTTGAAAGCGCCAACGCGCCGGGTCCTTCCTACTATTTGGCGAGTTGCAAACTTTCGGCAGTGTAGACAACACTCGGAACAGGCAGCCTGGGCGATCCTGGAGCGTCCCCACCGAGGTGGGAAACCTGCAGGCGGCTCCGGGTCCCGGCCCCGCCAGCTGCCCGGCCTCCCGCCTGGTTCAGGCCGCCAGGCCTCACCCCGGAGCTGTTAAATGCAGATTCCGCTGAGGAACCCTCGGGTAACTGCTGTTGAATAAAAATTGTAATCCAACAAGCCTAACTAGAAAATGGGATTCTAAAAGCTCCGGAGTGCTGGGTACATAAAGCTATCTGAGCAAATTACAAGAATCGCTTAGGGGCGTGAATGAAATCAACACTTTAATTGCCTCCAAAATGAAGATTTATACCCCGTTTTCTCATCGAATCATTATTTTATTAAAGTCAAAGATAAAGGACCAGAGTTCGGGGTGTTACTCAGTTACCTTTATTTGAGATACGCAGATTGGTAGGTAGTGGTCTTGGATAAAAGTTCGCACTTTATTCACCTCCCCACCTATAAAATGAGCAGTGTGCGTCCCTCTCCCGCCGCCTACAAGTGGGCTTCGCAGCTCTGGCTGAGCTCGTGGCGCCGTTGGCCTGTGCGCGTGGGCGCACTCGCGTGACCCCTCGGGCTCACCGAAGTCTCCGTTGGTCGTAGGGCAGCAAACCCCAAGCTTGTGCTTTGGAATTGTCCGTTCCCCTGGAGCCAGGAGCGGGAGTGCCTGGGCTCCCTTTGGGGAGGGGCGCGCAGAGCGCGGGGAGCACGCGGGACTGTGCGCCTCGGCCGCGGGGTGGAGTCCCCTGTCCTGGGAGTTGGGGACGGAGGGACGAGGCACTAGGGCCGCCAGGTGGGCGCCAGTGCTCCCAACTGGAGCCGGCTCGTCGGTCCCCGGGGGCCGGGCCCGGAAAGGACGGCCTCGCCACCTGTCTGCGAATGCGGCCCAGCCAGTCTGAGCCCCGGTGGAGTGTGCGCTGCGGGGCTGGATGCTTCAGGTGTGGTGCGAGCGCGGGGCCTCGTTAGCTCATTAACCCCTCTGTCTCTAGGGCCTGATGGCTGCGCGGTTTATTTTACTTTACTCTTCTCGGAGGGCGCGAAGGCTGCCACCGGCGCGGGGACTTGGGATCCACGACTTTGATACCAGCCGGTTTCCCGGAGGGCTAAGTCGGCGGAAATCTGCTTGGCCTTGTAGTGTCGTTAGTTTGGTGGTATTTTTTTGTTTTTGTTTTTTTTTTCTTATCAGATTAAGACGCCAGTCGAAGCCGTAATCCCGCTCCCACCCCACTCTCAACTCCCTGCCCCCCACTCCCGCTCCCAGACCCCGAAGTCCCAGGCCCGAGAGTCACCGCCCGCGGGCGCAGGCCTCCCGGGCGCCCTCTCCCGACTGCTATGCCCCCCGCTTGGCACGGACGACCCCGACGCCCAGGGCCTGGGAGCAGCGAGGGGCACCGGGGCCGTGCTGAGACCCCGGGAGGGCGCGGAGGGGGCCACCGTGCGAGGCGTCGAGGCCAGGGCTGAGCCTGGTTGGCGATAGAGAAGGACGCAGGGCGAGGGGAGGCGGG